GGCCGTGTCGCACTCGACGGGCCCCTCCTTGAACTCGACGATCTCGCCCCGGGACGGACAGAAGGTAGGCACCGCGGCGGACCACCGCGTCGGGCGAGGTCTCGCGCCGAAGCAGACATCGGGCCAGAAGCAATTGCTGGATCAGCCACGTGACCGAATACATAAAGAACGCACTGCTTAGCGGCAACTTCCGGGTGTCCGTGAGGCTCGGGGCGGATTGATCCTTGCGGGCAACTCTGGCGCAGCGCCTGAAGAACCTCGGGAGGGCATCTTTCTTTTCGGTGTCGGGTGTTCGGAATGATCTATAACGACCTTTACCAAGCATGCTGCCCTCCTCATACCAGCCAGGACGGTAACGATGAACATCGTGGGCGCAGATTCTTTTGCATCCTCAGACGCAGTGCGCACGTCAGGAGGCAACCCGGGCCTGCACTTCATAGGGCGCGGGCGCACCTGCGCTGGGACAGGTCTATTGCAAGCCTCCCCACACCCAGCCCGAAGTGGCCCAGCTGAGGACACTATGGTCGCAACGCTCCGCATCGCCACCGACAGCTCACCCGGCGGTGACCGCAAGCTCGACAGATACCGTGAGCGGCCAGGCTGTGGAAGCAGCATCGCGGTCGCCGCGGGGGGAGCAAGACTGACGAGCAGCAGGTCCGCCACTCGGCTCGGCGGCCGAGGTCTCCCTTCTGGAAAGAGAGCCGCAAAGCCTCTCCAGACGCGCCCGCGGCAGCCTGCACCCGCGCACCCGCGGCAGTCAGCGGCGACTCGCACGTAGGTTACCCGGGCGCGGATGGCGCCACGGAAACAGGGCCAAACCATCGCGGGGTTTTTAGCTGCGCACATCACCAAGACTTGGCGACACCCCTCATTGGGGATCTCACGGAAGGTGGCAACATGGATGGCTGTCACCGCAGCTGGCGCTCGCGCCACACAGTGGTCGATGACACAAAAATGAATGCGGCACGGACCCTGCGCCACCTGCCTCTGTGGCAGCCACCATCCACCAGGCCCAACACGGACCATCAGCACAAATGAACTCAGCCCGCGCCCACGGGCCGCCCAACGTGGGCCGACGCACGCCAATGCCGCAAAAGACGTAGCCGCACTGCTCGGCGGCATCATCCTCGAGGCCGACGCCGAGGTAGGGCTCGCCGACATCGACAGGGTTTTGCGGCTCGAATATGCAGGGTCTGGTGCTTCCTCTTCGGCAAACCCTCTCAGAGAAGGGGAAACAAAATATATGAAATCAGATGCAGCAGCGTGGAGTGGGGATTCCCCGCTGCAATGTCCCGGCGGAAGACCGCGGGTCACGCCCAGTGGCCGCGAGGAGGACATCCACTTTTACGCCCATATCCTCCTAGACGTCCACCACCTCATCCTCCCCCGTCCTCCGCAACAAGCACCTGCTCGTGCACCTTCTCGGGCGGCGCCACCCTGGCATCCCCCTCAACAATATATGCGGCGGCCCGGGGTGCCGTCGCAGCGTGGCCCGGCGCGCGCGCGAGCGCGCGCGGCGAGGCGCGGCGGGCAGGGGACGCTCCAAGAGTCGCCGCGGCAGGCAGAGCGACAGACCAGCGCTGGGCGCACCTAGATCGACTGAGATCTCACGGTGGAGGCCAGTCCACAGGCCAGCATCGATCCTCGAACCTCAATGTGGGCGTTTCTTGTTCAGCGTTTCGGCGTTGGGCGGAAGGGAGGGGTGAGGGGGAGGTCGGGCTCCGGACCTCTGCTTCATGCAACTGTTTGCAGCAGTGCGTCTTATGGGGGAGACTGGTTCTCGTCCTGGTTCCTGGTTCCTCGTCCTGGTTCCTCCCATTCCTCGTGCTGCTCCTCCCTACAGCAGGAGCTCGACAACAGGAAACCTTCCACGAGAAACCCAACCCTGAGACCCCATGACGTCCATCGACTTTTGGTGTTGGAACGTCACGCTTTCCATCACAGGACCATCGAAGCCCAAGAAGCCAAGGGCACCCTGGGGGCAAGCAGGGTGCTTCTTGGCATGGGCCTCCACTGCAGCGTCAGGATGGAAAAAAAGAGGCCTCCCATATGGGGTCGAGGTAGATGGGTTCGGAGGAACTCGCCGCATCGCCGATACATCGGCGATGCATCGGAGATGTATCGGCGATGCATCGGCATGCACCTGCGATGCATCGTCGACGTCGGCGATACATCGGCGACGTCGGCATGGAGAAAATCGGGCTCCGCATCGAGCCGCATCGCCAATGCATCGGGGATGCGTCGCGATCCTACGACCCCATCTACTCCGACCCCATGTAGGAGGCCTAGAAAAAAGGCGGCAGAGTGAAAGACGGACCAACTGAAGTACTGTGGCCAACCAATTAGAACTGGGTAAGCACAGCAGGAGACAGGAAGGCAACCAGGTGGCAGCGGACAAGTAAAAGGGCCGCACGGGCATGAAGTATGCGCTCACCTGGTCGTGAAGGGGGTGATGGAGGTGACCATGATCTGCAGGGCAACAATGAAATAAAAGATAAGCGCATCAGAGTTGGGGAGGTCGAAATGCTGGTCGAACGAACTGGGGGCAACAGTAGGTCAGGCGGTGCTACACGGCAGTCCACAGGGGGGCCGGGGGGGGGCTGCGGGAAGGCCCACTCAAAAAGGCTGGAGGACTCCTCCTCCTCCTCCTCCTCCTCCTCCTCCTCCTCCTCCTCCTCCTCCTCCTCCTCCTCTTCGGCTCCTCCCTCGAGGAGGAGAAGTGCGGAGAGAGAGCTGCGGCGACGTGGCCGCCAAGGCGGCGGGCCCCCCGGGCCCGATCCTGGAAGTTGGCCCCGTCCTCCACGTCACCGGCGAGCCCGAAGGCGACTTCGCCCCTCCGCGGCGTGCGCAGCGCGGCGCCCACCGCACCCGGGAGGCGAGGCCCGATGGTCCGGGCTCCGAGGAGCCTGCTTTCTGCTCTTCGCGAGAAAGCCCGCGACTGGCCCCGCACCTCCTCCCTCCTCCCTCCTCCCTCCTCCCTCCTCCCTCCCCCCTCCTCCCTCCTCCCTCCTCCCTCCTCCCTCCTCCCTCCTCCTCCTCCTCCTCCTCCTCCTCCCCTACCCGCCCCCTGGCCGCGTCCCGGCTCGCGCCGCGATTCGCGCTGGCGCCGCCCGGGGACGAGATGCTCCCAGGCACTCCCAGACGGCGCCGGCGCGGAGGGTGGCGTGACCGGCCCCCCCCCCCCTGCCCCTGGTCGCGCCCGTGTTTCGCCAAGGGGGTGGAACAACAATGCCATGGGTTCGAGCATGGATCCTCGAACCTCAGTGTGGGCGTTTCTTGTTCAGCGTTTCGGCGTTGGGCGGAAGGGAGGGGTGAGAGGGGGAGGTCGGGCTCCGGACCTCTGCTTCATGCAACCGTTTGCAGCAGTGCGTCTTATGGGGGAGACTCCATCTGCTCGAAACAGGCGCCAAAAACAGCCAAGATCTACTCCATGGGGGCGGGGATGGGGGGGTGCGAGGGCCCTCGCCGATCGGCAAAACAATGAATGCGAAAACAATTACAATAGCCTCGAGCTTGGCCGTCTGAGCCTCCAGAGCCCTCGAGAAGCCTCTGCAGGCCTTCGGGTGCCTCTGGGGACGCCCGAGGGCAGGATCCTCGTCCTGGTTCCTCCCATTCCTCGTGCTGATCCTCCCTACAGCAGGAGCTCGACAACAGGAAACCTTCCACGAGAAACCCAACCCTGAGACCCCAGGACGTCCACTGGTTTTTGGCGAGGGAACGTCACGCTTTCCATCGCAAGACAATCGAAACCCAGGAAACCAAGGGCACCCTGGGGGCAAGCAGGGTGCTTCTTGGCATGGGCTTCCACTGCAAACCGGCCTCGAGCTCGGGGAGGCGCCGCCCCCGCAGCAATCGAGAGGAATCCTTAGGATCGGCATGGAGATAGGAGATAGGAGGAATGATGATGATGATGATGATGATGAGGAGGAGGAGGAGGAGGAGGAGGAGGAGGAGGAGGAGGAGGAGGAGGAGGAGGAGGAGGAGGAGGAGGGGGGGGGAGGGGGGGGGGTCATGCTGATCCCCCTAGAGGCACGACGAAGAGGGGATATCTCTAACCTGACCAGACAAGAACGAGAAGCACCGCCTTTGTCCACTCGGCTCGTAAGACGAAGAGAGAAAGAAGGGAGAGGATGACGACAAGGAGGCGCGTGAGGAGGAAGACAAGACGTACAAAACACACACGCACACACACACAGACACACGCGTGCGGGAGGGCCTTTTCCTGTGCTCGGAATATGTTCACCCTGTATTGGAGCCGGTTTCGCCTCTTCCGGCAAGAACTGGAATGGGCGGGCGGTGAACGCAAAGCGTCTCGAAGAAGAAGAGACGCATGAATTAAACGTCACTAACACAGCGGAAACACTGGCCGACGCTGAAGAACTAGAAATGCATGCAGGAGTCGCTGGGGCACACGAAATCTACTCAGCCGACCGAGAGCACGACGACGAACGGCCGAAGCGGAACCGAAGCCCGAGCCGACGCCGCAAGGACAGCACAGCCACGGAAAGCTGTGCGAGACACTGTTGTCATCCTCCCCCACCTAAGTTCCTCGAGGAGTCCTCCAGACTGCACTTAGGTCTCGTTCTGGGGGCTCCTCGCACGCATCAACCTGCTACGCTTGAAATTATATTCTGGCTGCTCGCACCATGCTGTTTGCGAGGCAACTCACCGCGCACCATGCCTCCTGGCCTGCGTGTTCGCTCAGCTCTGGCCTTGTTGATTCCGCTTGGGCGCTCATGGTAACTTGCCTTCGCATCGCCGTTAGCTTGCCATTTGCCTGCTCTGGGGGGCCTGTAACGTTGTAATCCCACCAGCCCTTTAGGGCGTAGGTGATCTAGGGGGGGTTCTCTTCCAACCCCCTTCTCCCCCTTCGGGGAGGAGTTCATCATTGTTCCCTATTAATATACACCCCCCCACAGGCGACCGGCAGCCAAGCAGGAAGAATGAGGACCTCATGAGGCTCCCCCGCACCATCCCTGTCAAAGCCAATACACAGTACCGTTTGGGGCAAATTCATATTCGTGAGGCCCGCGAGCACTTTGTTTCATTGTTTTGCCAGGGACGGTGGGGGGGTCAGCACGTTGCCTGCTGCGTGCAGGGCCACCATCCCTGACAGAAAACCATACAAAATTCACCTCGCGGCAAAATCTTGATCATGCGCGGCCACCCCGCGATCACTGTCAAGTGGTGGCGTATGGCGTGCTGCGTGCAGGCCGACCAGACACAATGATGGGCATAGTTTTCGACATGGAAAGTGGGGGCCGACATGTTCCCCGTTGTGTGCTGTCACGTGCGCAGGAGCACCCGACACACTCTGCACATGCCCCGAATGTTGCGCACCTGGCGCGGCTAGAGTATGTGGCACACCTGGCGCACGCGGAAGCACGTGGCGCATCTGGCGCACCACGCGTGCCTGGCACGCTCGGGCCCCAAGGGTGCCTGACGCGCGCGGCGCGCCTGGCACGTGTGGCGCACCTCGCCCCGGCGTCGCGCACATGGGCTAGGTTTTGGTTCCCAGTAGCTGCCCATCCAATGACGACCGCTGAACATGCTGAGGCTCGGGTGTTACTTCTGTATTGGACGGGAGGGTGGGTGTGAGCTAGACGACCTGCTATCTAGGAGGGTGTCGTCACCTCTACCCCGACCCCCTCCCCTGGACCTGGACGGGCGGGGGCCGCGACGCGTTGGAGCGCCCAAGATTGACCAAGGCGGCTCCAAGAGGGCCCCTGAGAGTCCCAGATGAACTCCAAGATGGATCAAGATAGCGCACGATGTCTCAAGACGGCCCAAGATGTTCCAAGAGGCCCCAAGAACGTTCGAAGACGGCTCCAAGAGGCCTCCGAGACCTCCAAGGAGGCCCCCAAGAATCCAAAACCCCTCCAAAACCTAAGGACAATCATTGTGTTGTGCGTTCTCACCGTTTCGCTTCCGATGGCCACCCGAGGCTTCAAGATGGCTCCAAGATGGCCCAAGAGAGCCCCAGGAAAGGCCCAAGAGAAACCCAAGACGGCCCCAAGGGCGCCCGAGAGCGCCCCAAGAGCGCTCCAAGAGGGGTCCAGGAGGCGATGTTCGGCGCTCCCGAGGGGGAAAGCTAATTGAAGCCCCCGTCCTCTTTGATCGATGTCCTCCGAGGCCCCAAGAGCGCCCCTGAAGCTCCCAAGAGGGCCCTACGAGGTGCCCAGACGGCCCCAAGAGGCCTCCAAGAGGCTCCCAAGAGACCCCATACGAGGCCACAAGAGGATGCCCGAGGTACTCAACTATCCCTCCTTCTCTTCCTTCTCCTCCTTATCGTCCTCCTCGTCCTCGCCCTACCCCACATCCTCTCCCTCTTCCTCTTCCTCCTCCTCCTCCTCCTCCTCCTCCTCCTCCGACGACGACGACGACGACGACGACGACGACGACGACGACGATTCATCCTCCGTCCTCCCCCGCCGTTTGTTCTTCTGCATGCTCCCCCACTTCCCTGATTACCTCAACTCCCCTGGGCATCGTTTCTGGATGGGCTGGTGGGGATCTGTTCTGTTCGCGAGCGGCACAGAGCAACTGCGCGCCGTCAAGAAGCGAAGCAACAGTGCCACGATCTAAATGACGGCCTACAAGGGAGCCGCAGCGACCGGAGCGCGCGACGCAGTCGCTCAGGCGGCGGGGCCGGAGAAGCCCAGGAAGTAAAAAAGCTGGTGGGAATACTTCTTTAGTCAGCGGCCGCGGGCGAGCGCGCCGGCGGCGAGTCCAGTCAAAGCGGGGCACGCAGCGACGAATTTACCTAATACAACGGAGGCCGGCCTCACCTAAAGCGGCTAATCAGGGCCTCACACAGCAACTCAGCGGCGGACCGGCGAGTGGAGGGGGCAGCTGAGCTGGTGGGGACGCGAAGCGTCAACAAGTGGTCGGTGGCCTGAAGGGGACTTTTCGGGCACCAGCGCGTCCTTGGCGCCGCCTCGGAACCCTTGCAGGGCCCCCGAACTCCTTCTCCCCTCCCTGCCCCTCCAACATCCCTCCCACGTCCAAGTAGAATCATCCCCACCCCACCCCTCTTCAACATCCTCCTCCTTCCCCCATCAAGAACTTCATGTTTACAGAGCAGCCCCCTGAAGCCATCACCCACATCCCAGGGATCCGTTTTCCACCCCATATCGTCATTTGACGGTCCCAAGGAGGCGAGAACAGCACACAAACGCCGAACATCGCCAAACAGAACAAACGACGTGGTATTCTCCTGCGTCCAGCTCGTCAAGCTCATTGAGCCCCTCTCGCAAACAAAACTCAGCCTCCCAACCACCCCCCCTCACAGACACCATCCCGACAATGTCTTCAAACAGCGTCCAGCCGTGGTCGCCCGGAAGATCTCCTCCTCCCCATTTCGGGGGCGCGCAGACATGCATTAGCGATCCATGGATTTGGCGCGCGGCCGCCAAGTCCATGGATCCGGGGAGGTGCCCTCCCCAAAATGCGGCAGGTGCCGCCTCGCTCGGCGGTGAAAATCCACGACTTCCCACGGAAAGAAGACCCGCCGCTAACCCACGCCGCCATGGATCCATGTCTGCGATCGCCGGGCCGTTCCCCGAAAGAGATGCAGTGGCCCGCTCCCCCCCCGTCCTCCAGAGAGAGAGGAGGTCTGCGGAGGGGCGCCTCTTCACGACCTGCTTCACCTCGCTGCCCCCCCTCGCCCTCTCGTAGGCCAGGTCGATGTCCCTCCTCGCCCTGGGATGGCCAGGTCCGGGGATCTCGCCTGCGGCGCCCCTATCCCTCCACCTCCTGTCTCAGGGAGGAGGAGGAGGAGGAGGAGGAGGAGGAGGAGGAGGAGAAGGAGGAGGAGCAGGAGAAGGAGGAGAATGAGCAGGAGGAGGAGCAGGAGGAGCAGGAGGAAGGAAGAAGGGAGGGCAGGGGGCGGGCATTTTCAAGGACTATTTCTTCACGGATCGCGCCTTGGAGAGCCAAGAGAAGTTCAAATTAGAAACCCGCTGGCAAGCACAAGCCCAGAGAGCTCCTTGGACTTCAGTGAATCCGCCTTGCCGCGCGTTGCTAGAGCTTCCAGCTTGACGCGGCTCTGTTTAGGCCCAGCGTTGGTTTCGTTTGGGTGCTTTGATGTTCCTCTCAGGAGTCCCTGCAGATCCTCCACATGAGGAGTGTGATTTTCGTTTCCATGTCCTGGAGATTATCTGCATATTGGCTATCCCACGCACGTGCCCAGCAGCACAGGAGCATCACATCTGCAGTCTTGAAGGGCGTTAAGAAGCAGTGGAGGCGAGTCCACAAGAAACCTTCCACAAGAAACCCAACCCTGAGACCCCAGGACGCTGGGAACGTCGCGCTGTCCATAGCAAAACCATCGAAACCCAAGAAACCCAGGGCACCCTCGAGGCAAGCAGGGTGTTTCTTGGCATGGGCCTCCACAGTACTCCCCCCAGCGGTTCCAGGCTACATGGAAGGCAGCTCTGGCGGCGTGGCGTTACTCCGCAGACCGTTCCTCGGGCTTCACGAACGGCCCATAAACTCCGAGCTGTACCCTGGCCGCGCAGTTGGTGGATTTGCGCATATCCAAGTAGCCAAGAGCAGCCATTATTTTTCGCGGCAGTCTACTAGCAACAACTCTGAAGGCACATCGACCCGCAACCTGGAAACACTCGGCGCAGTCGGAGAAGCATCGACTCTGTAAGTTCAGGAGTCTCTGCCGGCGCTGAATTTAAGACAAGACCTGCAGGTGTCAAACGAAATAGTTTCCCCAAACAATATTAGGCGGCGCGGTGTCTCCGATATGCAACAGCACATGCAGTACAACTGGTGGCCTAAAGACTCTGGATTATTCGCTGCTTCCCACGGCTTTTATCAAGTCACCCAGGGCGCAGAAAGCCACCTCGCGCATCGCCCCCCCCCCGCCTCCACACACGCACACACGCACACACTGACACACTGACACACTGACACACTGACACGCTGACACACTGACACGCTGACACACTGACACACACACACACACAGACACACACACACACAGACACACACACACACACACACACACACACGAGAAACACACACACCATCCCCCGTGGACCTGGGGCACCGTTCTTCAGTAGGGAACCACATGCGAATCCTATTCCTGCAGGTTCTGACGGTGCTGGTGGTCAGGGTCTGACGGGTGTCTGCAGCCAAATGAGCCCCAGCAGGGGCGTCCGATACCCAAGCGTCGACCAGACCCGTAATGACAAAGTTCGCAATTGGTCGCAGACCCATGGCGCTCAAGCTGCAAGCATGAGCGTCCGCGAAGGCCGACGCCAGACGGATACGACAGTACGAACTGCTGATTTTGAAGGCGCACGTCCGACACGGGGATATAGTACACAAGTCGTGCTGTATCTCGTTTCCAGAGCGGCGTGGCCAGAAAGCGCCCGCACTGAAACATGTACTATAGGATGTTTAAGGGCGCGCGTCGCCCTTGCGGGATCGACGCGCGCATGGTATAGATGTGTTTGGGCTGACTACCTACCAGACCACCCCAACCCAACCCGAAGACCCGAATTTCGGGTTGGGGGGGGTAAGGGTTCCACGCGTGTTTTTCGATGTTTCCCGACCCCCCCCCACTGGAAATCGAGGGTAAATCTGAGCCTTCGGGTTGGGTTGGGGTGGTTTGGTGGGTGGTGATGGGCGGTGCTAATTTCACCTCCCCCCCAGGCATCCCAAAGTTCCTTCGCATTGCTGCCCGGGCGACGTTGGCGCCGTCACTCCAGGAGCCCCCATCGCAGGAGGAGCGGCGGGGGTCGCCCGCGTCGGCAAGCGACTCGATCAAACTTGCAAAGATCGGGCGCCAGCGGCTGCTGTTGCTGATGAGCGTGTTTTCCACCACCACCACCATAAGTTGGAGGGGGGGGTCCTCCTCCTCCTCCTCCTCCTCCTCCTCCTCCTCCTCCTCCTCCTCCTCCTCCTCCTCCCCCTTCGCCCCATCCAACTTATGGTGGTGGTGGTGGAAAACGCGCTCATCAGTTGCGGCCGAAGCCGAGAAACGGTATAAACTGCTGTTTCGCATTCTCTCCGACTTTGAAACCGGCATAGGTCCCGTGGCTCGGCTGGCGCTGCTAGCACGAGCATTTGTCTCTCGAGCGGCGGGGTGCGAAAGGTGCAAGAAAAAAATGGGAAACCTGAATGATGCAGGCGTCGGAAATCTACTGGCCCTGGTCATTGCAAACCAAGGCCAGTCGAACCCTGCAAGATCCTGCGCCCCAACACGGGGTCAACGCGCCTCTGCTTCTGCAAGGTGCTGCCAAACCTGGTACTCTGACTGACCCCCGTTTGCATTGACCCCCGTTTTAAGGCTCCCCAAGGCAGGGCACACAAACTGGACTGGCTGGAGACACCTTGGTCAGGCGCGGCCGCGCCGCTGCCGCCGAGGGCGACTGGGCCCGTGACCAATTTCGACGGCACTCTCGTCGACCCGCTTGAAGGACTCGTCCTTCCTGGCCAAGGAATCCAGTCGCGCCGTCGCCCCCGTTGAATCGGCGAATCCTGTGTCCCCGCGTGAACGACATTCGAATTCGCGCACACTGGAACGGTCTGCTCTGAGGCCCTGGACTCTGCCGGCGCGGGACATGCGCCCCTGACGAGCAGATCAGATCGCTCACCTCGCCGATCTGCTCGGTCGGCTGGCAGCCGCCGCGGGAGATGCCCAAGCTGAGGCCAAGATTCAAAGAGGAGGAAGAGGAGGAGGAGGAGGAGGAGGAAGACGACGAGGAAAAGGGGAGGAGGAGAAGACGACGAGGAAGAAAAAACTGAATATGAAAAAGAAGAAGAAGAAGAAAAGAAGAAGCTAGCGGACCGCGGATCTCGGGCGTCGGCCCGTTCTGTCCTCAGAGGGACAGCAAGTCCTGCACGTAGGGCAGCACGTCGAAGTACGCGCATGTCACTCAGCAGCACCCTCAGGCATACCCCTTCGCCTGGCAGGGGACACTCGTGTGTGGCCTCCTCGACGATACAGCTCACTGTGTCCTGGGCCACTCGCCGCTGCAGCAATTGGCCCTTCGCCTCGCGGAGCAGACGCCGTTGGTGATGAACCCCTCACCTCAGCACCAGCAGGCCTACCCCCTCGCCTGGCAGGAGACACTGCCGGAGAGGCCCCCCGACGATACCACTCGCTGTGTTCGGGATGCTCGTGCGCCCCTCGGCCAGGTCGAGACCCGTCCTTCCCCTGCATCTCGCCGCCGACGCCGGCGAGAGAGGTCCAGTTGCACACGCCTTCGGGGTGCCGACTTGGTCCCAATCGTTCCATCACGTCATGAACTCAGGGCCCGTCAGGAGCCCGTTAGGAGGAGGAGGAGGAGGAGGAGGAGGAGGAGGAGGAGGAGGAAGAGGAGGAGGAGGAGGAGGAGGAGGAGGAGGAGGAGGAGGAGCTGGTTTGTTGCACTGCACCGAGCAGGGCGGGAGGCAGCAATGGCGCGCCCAGCAACACCCCAGGCAAGACGAGGTCCCGTTGAGATCCGCGCCAAAGCGACACACCGCTGGACCCTCCACCCCCACACCCACCCACGCAGAAAAGTGGCGACTGTTGCGCGCCTGGCAGCACACAGGGGAGGTTGAGGTCCCATTCGGGTCTGCGACTGGACACCACTCCGATGGACCCCGACGGAAACAGTGAAGCGCGCATCGGGCCCGCGAGCCCGCGGCGGGCTGGAAACCATTCGCCAACATCAGCGCCGCTGGAGATGCGGTTTCGGACCACTTTGTCCACGGCCCAGGGGCGGGCTCAGTTGTTTTCGGATGCGCGGGGGTAGGTTCATGTCAAAGATGTGGTCAGCTTCCGAAGTACTCCTCTTACTCCTCTTTCCCCTCCACCCATATCATCATACCCCTCCTCATACGTTTTTGCTTGCAGCCTACAAAAAAGCGCGAACCCTGTCAAGCAATGGTGTTCGTATCATCCTCCTCCTCCTCCTCCTCCTCCTCAACTCATCCTCCTCATCGGCGTCGTCATCATCAGCATCATCATCAGCATTATCAGCATCATCGGAATCATCATCCTCATCATGATCAGCAGCATCATCATCATCATCGTCCACATCATCCACAGCATCATCATCATCATCATCATCATCATCATCATCATCATCATCATCATCATCATCATCATCATCATCATCATAATAATAAGCATCATCATCATCATCAGCCTCGTCATCCTCATAATCAGCATCATCATCACCACCATCATCAGCAGCAGCATCAACATCAGCATCATCACAAGCACCACCATCAGCATCATCATCCTCATCATCACCATCATGATCATCATCATCACCATCATCAGCATCATCATAATCATCAGCATCGCCATTACAATCATCATCATCAGAAGCAGCATTCTCATCAACAACAACATCAACATCACCAGTATCAGCATCATCATCATCAACATCAGCATCAACAGCATCAACAGCATCATCAGCAGCAGCATCATCATCACCATAAGTATCAGCATCATCATCATTATCGTCATCATCGTCATCATCATAATCACCATCATCATCAGCAACAGCAGCAGCAGCATCAGCATCAGCATCAGCATCAGCATCAGCATCAGCATCAGCATCAGCATCATCATCATCATCATCAGTATCATCATCATCATCATCATCATCATCATCATCATCATCATCATCATCATCATCATCATCATCATCATCATCATCATCATCATCATCATCATCATCATCATCATCATCATCATCATCATCATCATCATCA